CCCGCCGACACGAACACACACACACACGTTCAGCCACGTTCAGCTTGCTCGGTTGGCCATGATGGTGTTGACTGCTGCGGTTGGCCGCAAGGGTGTGCCTATGTCACCGTGATTACTGCCGCGAGGCCTGCCTGTGTGTGTGTGCGTGTGTGGTTTGGGTGTGTTTGGGTGCCAGCCACACAAGCACACGGACAAAGTTAGTTCCGGAAAAGTATATCCAAGTCCCCGACGGGGTCGTCGTCCGCCGTCCGCATCCCTCTAAACAGAGCAGGCGATAACCACACCATCATAGCGCCTCGAAGGATATGAACCAACTGGCGCGCTCATATCTATCTGAGGGCGACTCACTCTGTTCGCCCCATTCGAATCAAAGACAAATAATCGGAATTAGTTCCGCCAAGGACAATGCCACCGAGCCCATATCTAACCACATTGCCCCGCTCACAATGGGAAGCGGCCATCGAGCCCGGGGACGGTCTGGCGGGGGCGGGCGGCGGCGGAACCCTCGGCTCGGGAGAGCCCGGGGCCACGGCCCGCGCACGAGAGGGGTCTCATAGACCAGCTCATTTACGCCCTAAGTCTCTCTGGTGGAGTTAAAGCGCCGTGATGATCGAAACACACACACGACTCCCCAAATGTGTGAAAATAAGCCCGCCTCTCTTCCCACTCCGGCCCAAGAGTGGATGGAGCACTCAATTACGATTACGGCCTAATTTACCGAGAACAGGACGACGAGGAGCGGGGAGGGGGAGGAGGCTTGGGGTCCTGCTCCGTCCCTGTCACCTCTCTATTCCAGCCTGCTTACCGTCCACACCTCCCCCACCCCGGCAGGTCAATCTGCTACACAACTTCGGAGGGGGAAGGGGGAGGAGGGCACAACGGCAATCCAGCTGCCCCAAGACAACCCCGGAGAACAGTGATTATCACTCAGGGGTCGGAGCGCACGCCGCAGACCGCAGACGCACTATCAATGGCGTAAACCCTCGCACGACACGCGCACAGACACACACGCGCGCACAATATGCCGTCATCAACTGTTATTATCGCGCCACAAATGGCACGGCGCTTCATCGTATACCCAAGGGTTTTTCCAAACAAAAGCAGCCCAACATCAGGCCGAATGTATAATGTGTGCGCCAGGCCGGGCCGCGCCCCTCGTGTCTGTCGCCCAGCCTATACGCGAACCGTCCCGTCACGGCGCGAGCAAGAGCAGAGGGGGGGTCGGGTTGCCAACCGCCCCGTCCCGCCCCGGTCGGACGCGCGCCCCGCTCGGCCCCGCCCCGTCGCGCCACCTCTATTGTTACGTTGGCACGCCCGACGCATGCAGGCAGGCCGCGCGAATGTTGCGCACGTGATGCGAACAATCCCCCAGTGACGCGCCGACAACACACAGCCAAGAGGGAACGGCGCCGGCGCGCGCGCGCCTGCTCGCGTGACCGACATTCAGCAAAATGCGCCTAGCCCAAGGTTTTGTTCAGCTGCTCAAATAAATGGAACCGCCACCATGCAAATATATAATTGAACCGAGGAGACTATAGGCGGACACAAATTCGGATCGTTTCAGAAAGCCCAAAAAATAACGTAGACATGCATTTATTTCGTTGAGTGAGACGACGTGAATCTTTATACCAGTATAACTGAAACAGTGTTGCAACATTGTTAAAAATTTCTTGGGGTTTCCCGAAGAGTCACTTTCCACCGATATTGAAAATTCCCAGAGGACTCCGTCCTTAGTTTTTGTGTACTAAAACAGATGTTTAAGGTGGAAGTTTTCATTTCGTCTATATGTTTCAAAAGCTAAACTCGACACGTGAAATCTACAGAGTTCATTAGGAAATCCCAAAGGACTTTGGCAATACTTGCACGAGTGTTCCTTGGTGAAATTCCAGGAGTTTATTTAACAGCGAAGAAACAACACTTTACTTCCTGAAAGCAACGAAATTTTTGCACCACCATTTCCAACTAAAAACGGACAGTCCAGTCATAAAATGTCTCCATAAAACTCGCACCTACTGATACAGTGATCAAAACTATCAAAATTTCGTTTGAGGAAAAAATCAATAGTTTCGCATTAACACCTTATTTTTCTCCGGTGAACTGAACGGTTTATCAAGAGTGGACATAAAAGTGAATTTACTAAAGTTCACAAATACGGAGACGAATATCACAGAAATACTTACCATTTGCTGCGCGTTGTCAAGGCGTAGCCCATCTTTCCACCAAGTTATCTTGGCTGGTGGCCGGGACCCCGCTGACTGGCACACCATCTGAATGGGCTTGTTGGCAGATAAAACCTGCCCACTGTCCAGTGGCATGATGGCAGCGTACAGTGGACGCACTGCAAAAATAAAGAGGAAAGCAAACCGTCACTCCATCTGTCCAGTGTCCATTAGCATCAGCATCAGCCTTTTTAGCTTTTGAACGATTACTGAGAATGCAAAGGGCACAGGGAACCTAAGAGTTTGTCCATCCAAGTCTGTAACTTTTCTCCTATAAATCCGTGAGGTACATGTCTCGATATATAGACATACGCTATCCAAGCATGATTTCCTAAATCTCTGTAACAATTTCCGTTGCACGCGGTGAAAAAACCTTCGTAAATTTACAACATTTTTGTAGGTTCGTTCGGTTTACAAAACAAAACGTGGTACGACAAACCAATTTTTTCTCCCCATTGAATTCCAAGTCTACACAGAATACGGTGTGTAATTTTACAATTTCAAATTGTAGTTTTACAACACACATAATGTAAAAAATTTCTGCAACCCATGCAAGATTTTCCCACGCAGTGTACTGACTGGGAAATGATGGCCGTCACAGAATTAGTGTAGACGTGTTATAACATAGAGTGCTTTTCAGTGATGCCAACCCCTGCTGCGGCCCCTCCTGTCGACCCTGACAGACGTGTGTAACACTGCGTCGCTGTCCCCCCCCCCCTACCCGGTCCCCCCTTTTTTACACCTCTGGAGCAGAGCGCGAGCGCGCCCCATCGCCTCGCAGCCGGCCGCTGTCGTCAGCACGATGAGAACTAACTCTGCTGACGGCCTGGCCTCAAAGCAGCACCTCCTCCTCCTCCCTAACCTCGCACAGGACGGCGACAGGTCAGCAGGCCGCCCAGCTCGCAGCGCCCCGCCGCGCCTGGCGTGCACTTTTACGAGCGTTATCCCTACTCCCCGGTGGGCAAACGAAAAGAAAGTGCTAAGGTCAGGGAAGGTGTGTGCGCCGCGCAGGAACGCGTAGGGGAAGAGGAGGGCGTTTCACAGACAAAGCCTAACCCGAACGCCCAAAGACCAGAAAGCTAACCGGCCGTGGGGCCCGTCGTCAGTATAGTTGATATACACGCTCAAAACAGAGCGGGCCACACAAGCGTGCAGTGTCGCAACAGCCCGTACAAGCGCGCAGCGCGCATGCGGGGGAGTAGTGATGGAGTCCGAGCGACTAGAACTAATGGAAACGCAATATTATTGCAGCCCGTGGTTTCGTGCAGCTGGTCCGCCGCAGCTAGTGCGCGCTGCTGTGCACTCGACCTCTCCCCCCTCCGCCCCCTCCTCGGGTAGGTGCCGCCTTGGGCCGCCACCGCTCTTGCTCATGTCGCCCAGCCCGCTCGCAGTTTTACTGTCCCCCGCTGCTCTGCTCTGGCTCGCTTTGCTCTTTTACGCGCCCCTGAAAGATGACCTGAATTTTGTCGGTATCTACGGGTGGTGTGCTGTTGGGCTTGGTGGGGCGAGGGTGAGCAAGGGGGCGGGGGTCGCGCCCGGGGTGCTCACTTTTATTCTATGCGCAAGTCGGGAAATGAAAAATGGAATAGGGCAGGTGGGAGGCTGGCTTACACATCCCGTCGGCCAAAACTGTTTCCAAACTAACAGGTGTGCCCTACAGAACCCACCACGCGCGCTGCTGTGAGTCACAAGTGCGAAACAAACCCAACCTTGGGGGACAACCTACACGCGCGTCGCTTGCGAGTTGCAAGTGGCGCAGCATAGCCTAGCACAGCTCGCACGCGCGCTCGACTCTCTGATAGTAGAGGACCTCGCTGACAAATTAGCGATTGAGGTTCGCACGAGAGTGGGGTGAGGCATGGGGGGTGGGAGAGGAATGGGTGGGGATAAGGGGATGATGGTTGGCACACTTCACCATGTTGAAGGGGATGGGGAGAAGAGGGCGACGCTCAACAGAGATGTCATTCAGCCTGGCATGAGACCTAGCCGAGCGAAGCACGCAAAAGGGACCGGGAGGAGGATGGGACCCTCGTGCGAGACTAGGTAAGCTACTTAGCCCTCATAAACAAGGTCGAGGGCGGGGCAGGGGCGCGAGCGTGGGGAGGGGGCGTCGCTACCATCCCCCGCGAAACGACACCACCTGCGATACACAGCAGAGCCTTCATGAGCGTAATGGCTGTGCTCCGCCTAACCCAAAACGGGGCGTCGTAGAGCAGCGGCCACCTTGGGACAGGGCCCACGCCGCGCCCCACAGGCACCCACCAGGACCCGGCGGGACCCGCGCGCTGGCTCAGGAAGAGGACGACACGGCGCCAGCAGAGCGCAAACTGCGAGCAGGTCCTGCTGCCTGCATGTTTGCGCACCGTGGGGGGGATGGGATGGGGGGCCTATATGTGCGGACTAAGCTGTTGACTCGCGCGCGCTGTCCCACATAGTCCGCACACATTAAGACGTTACCCCCATCAAGTTCTCGCCCGGCCCGGCCCGTCCCCCGGCTCGGGCGAGGCCCCGGCTAGGCTCAGGCTCTACTCTACTCTGCTAGACTCTCTCCGGCCGCACCCTCCCCGCCCGCTGTACCACACAGCTCAGCTCCGCTCATTACGTGTGAAACTTTTCACCTCCCGGAAAAGGCAGCTGGTGACACCTCGTTACCGCCCGTCACACGACGACCTCCCCCCTCACCCCGCCCCCCCTTTCCGCCGGCCTACCCCACCTGCTCTCTGGGGGCTGTGAGGCGAGGCCGCCGAACCACCTCCCGGTGGGCCCTCGCGGCACTGCTCGGGGGCGCGGGACAAACAGCTACCGGTACTGGGACGGACGGGCGGGGATATAAACGGACCGACGAGAACCGCGGTGGCAGCGGTCGCACGGCATTGCCGGGGACGGGCGCGGCAGGGTCAATCTGCCCACAATAGTGGTACCAAGCTGTGTGATATCGCCGCTGTCCCGACGTTATCTTGACTTTGCGCCTCAAGACGGAGTCGTGGGCGAGGAAATTCGGTGACAGCGGGCGGCGAAGGGCAAAGAAGAAGGGGACAAGACGAAGCATCCGCATCTTCTTTTTCCCGTATCGTATCGTGAAACCAGAACCGAGTCGGCAACTGAAATTTGATTTTCCACGCTAGCCTTCGTTTGAAGGTACATTAAAGTTTGGCACTCTGAAAACCACTATGCGTAACATAATTCAAAGCTCTTTGTTACGTTCGTGTGCGTTAAGTTTGTAACATCGGATATACAAATTATTTTACGTAACAGTTTTATACAAATTACTTTCCGTAACATATGTTACATATTTGTTACTTTGCGTCACAAAATTATTTTTGTTGATTGTAAATATATAGCTAAACTTTCAGAGCATAATTAGCAGTGTAACAGCTGTCAGCTGTCACGGACTTGTTACAATAAATATAACTATACACGTACACATACACGCATACGTGTTGTTACATAGAGTAACTTTCAATGCAAGCAATGAGGCGAAAAATTGCCCTTTTTCAAAAGTCGGGCCAACATTTTGACATTCAAAAAAGAGTGCGAAAACAAGCTAGGAGACGCAACCACGGCGTTTAGGGTGCGCAGCAGGCCGAAGGCGGAGCGCCTGGTAGGTAGGCCGCCCACCCGCGCTAGTGCCGCCCGGTTGCCTACCCTGTGGTCCACAGGCGCCACGCCCCCTACTAGTACAGCAGCTGGCGCGGCTCGCGGCGGAGCTGCGGCCGCTGCGTGCGAGTAATGATTTCATCAAGTCACGTGACCGACCCTCCGTCGAGTGGAGCGGGGCTCTACTCCGCCGCCCGGGGGTCGTGCTGGTTCCGCGCAGAGTAGCAGTACTGTGTTCCCTCCGGCGCGCGAGGAGCGGGGCCCGTCCCTTTGCAGGTTCGGCCTCGGGCTGGGCCGGCGGGCGGACGGAGCTAGGTGTCCAGCCGTCGAACACTCAGCAACTAATTAATTTATGGAAGTCCTCCCTAAGCAGCGGCGGAGTTACGGGATGGGACATTGCTACCCTCCCGCCGTGCCTTCAGAGCAGAGAGAGATAGAGACAGAATTCCGTGGCCCTGACCCCTCCGACGGACACTCTCGAGAGGCAGGAGAAGGGGGGAGGGAGTTCGGCAGTTCATTTGCATAAATTCATTCATGGCTCTGCGAAAATACTGCCGCGCTAATAACAATAAAACACGCAGAAAGGTTGCCCTTGAGAATCGTGGACGGACGGAGGAAGGAACTGACTGAGATTTCGAGTTTTACCTGCTGCTGCTGACCCTGCCATGGAAGTTGGAAGTTGCCCGTCGAGAAGTGGCGTTCCCTCCTTAAGCGGCGCCGAGCAGCTAGTCAGGCAAGGACTTCATCACATCATTCGCATCGCAGGGTCGGAATGTGATTTCAAAGGGTCAACTTGGCTTGGCTCAGCCCTGTGCTCACTGTGCTCTTGGAAGCAGGGCTCGGGCACTGCCGCCCGCCGCGCTTCGCCCCCTGGGCCGTGCTCGGGATAAAGCGAGTCTGGCTCGAACCGTCTGGCGCCCTATTCTCTACACACCCGCCTCATACCGACCCTAAGATATGGGGTATACTGAAATGAAATAAGGTGCTCAAGAAGATTCTGCGAACGTGCCCCTTCAGTTGCGCAGTTGCATCCTGCCGCCATCACGAGAAGCGAATTCCCATTCCCCGACCATACAAGACTCGAAACAAAACTGAGAGCCACTGCAACATTTCTTTTAGGCCGCAAGGAGTGGTCCAGCACGGCGCATGCGCGGCGGCGGAGGAAATTACCTGGCCTGGCGGACGCCGAAAAGATGACAAAACGACGTTTTTATCGCGAGAGCCCGGGGTGCCTCAGCAGCGGCAGGCGGCCCTTGCGCGCAGAGCGGAGCCTGCCAGTGTTTGACGCCGCTATCGCAATGTTTGCATCGGACAGCAGCAGCAGCGGCGGCAGCGGCTCCTCCTGCCGCCCCCTTCCCCATCGGGCCCACCCGGCCCTTTGGGTATTCAGGGCGAGAATTAATTCATCATGAAGAGGCTAGGCTCCGCGAGGCCGCAGTCGCACCCCCGGCTGCCGCTGCACTGAGTCCGAGTGAATCACTGCCGGGAACGGGAAGCAGAGAGAGAAGGGGGGAGACGAGAG